TATGAGTCCCCTAACAATTGGTGGTGGTGAGTAGCTTGCCATATGCTTATTGGCCATGTGTATATCTTCTTTGGAGGAATGCTGTTCAAGACCTTTGCTCATTTTTAAATCATGTTGTTTATTTCTTGTTGGAAAGGAGTTCTTTATATGTTCCAAATATTAACTCTTTATCAAGTATATAATTTTCAAGTATTTTATCCCATTTCATAGGTTGTTTTAACTCTATTGATTGTGTCCTTTGATACAGAGAAGTTTTTAATTTTGATGTAGCAAAGTTTGTATTTTCTTTTGTCGCATATGTTTTGGTGTTTTACTCAACAAATCATGGAAAATTTAACATGAGGATTTTCCCAGTTTCTTCCAAGAGTTTTATAGTTTCAGCTCTTACGTATAAGTTTTTTGATATATTTTGTTAGTTATTTAATGTGTTATTAAAATATAATCTCATTCTTTGCATATGGATATTTAATTTTCATCTTATTTTTTAAAAAGCTCTTCCTTGAATGATCTTGTCACATTTGTTAAAAATTACTTTACCATATACACAAGGATTTATTTCTGGTCTCTATTCTTTTCCATTGATCTGGACTTATGCCAGTACAATACTGTTTTGATTCCTACAGTTGTGCAGTAAGTTTTGAAATTAGATGTGAGAACTTTAAATTTTTATTTCTTTTTCAAGATTTTTTTGTTATTTAGGTTCTCTTGAATTCCATATGCATTTTAAGATGGATGTTTCTAGTTCAGCAAAAATATTGGTATTGTGATAAGAATCGGACTGAGTCTGTAGTCTGTGAATTACTTTGGGCAGTACTGAGATCTTAACAATTGCTATGATTTGTGTCTAGATGTTCCCTGAAGGCCTCATGGAGTCATAGGTGGGGCTTTTTCAGAGGTGGCTGTGTCTAGAGTGTGTGATGCTGGGATTAAGGGTGGGTGATTACTAAATCAGGCCACTGATTGGTTTGGCATTACCTTAATCCTGGTAGACTAGATGGAGTATAAAAGGGGCAGAAAGAAGCTGCTAAGGTCCCTTGCTTGCTTTGCAATGCCTCTACAAACTGTGAGCCAAAACCTCTACAAACTGTGAGTCAAAACTTTCCTCCAATAATTTTGAGTGTTGAGTATTTTGTGTCAGTGATGAGACAAGTAACTAAGACAACAATATTAAATTTTCAAATTCATGAACATGAGGTATCTTTCCACTTGGGTCTTCTTTCGTTCAGCAAATGTACATAGATTTAATAGCAGCTTTATTTATAATAATAAAAACTTATAACTAGTTCAAATGTATTCAATGGGTTAATGATTAAACAAACCATGTATTTTGGAATAACCCAGTTCCCAGTGTAAGAGAACCAACCCCAAGATGCAATGAGACTGGAAAAAGAGGTAGACAACTCCAGGGTTGCATAGAGTATAATTTATTGGGGGATGTCCTGTCAGAAATGTGGTTCTGTGTGGCATCAAGACTAGCTGCATCTCTGACATTTGGGTTGGAGGGAGGGGATATATCTGGGTTAGAACAAAACTTACATCATACTAGCTGGAATATGCATGGTTTATTTTAAGCCAGTATCAGCCAGACAACATCTCTGTCGCCAGTGTCCAGTTGCAAACCTCAACATACCACTCTAAAGGTTTTGTCTATTTATACTTTGCTAGGAAACTATGCAGGAAAAGTTGACCAGGTTTACTCAGAAGCAATCATGGCTGTGGTCATGTCAAGCTTAAGCCATTCAATGTGGTCATCTATTCCATGGAATGTTACTAAGAAACAAAAAGGAATGAACTATTGATAAACTCAAAAACCCTGTTGAATCCGCAGAGAATTATGCTTAGAAAAGCCAATTCCCAATATTATATACTGGTTCTATTTATAAAACCTTGGAATGACAAAAATCATAGACATGAGAGAGAGATTAGTGGTTGTCAAGGATTAAGTCGGGCATGAGAGTAGGAGGGAAGTGAGTTTGGTGACATGACATAAACAGGCAGCATCTTTCAGGAATAGAAATGTTCAGTGTCTTGAAGGTGTCAGTGCCAATATCCAAGCTATACTGCACTTCAGTTTGCAAGATGTTACCTCTGAGGACACCAAGTGAAAGATACATGTGATCTCTGCTATGTTTTATGACTCCATGTGAACCTACAATTATTTTCAAATAAAAAGTATAGTTTAAGGAAAAGAAGGCACAGAATACAATATCTTTTAGAAAGCTTTCTGTAAAATATTAACAATAAGAGGAAATTTAATGCTGTTTGGGAAATTGGGCAGCTATTATGATTCACTTCTCAAGGTCTCTTGAGAACCAAGGGTTTTTTGTTTTGATTTGCCTTAATGATGTTCAGAATAAAAGCATTTTGCAACAGGCACAGTTTTGGATGGTTTAGGAACACGGTCACTATTAGAAACTAATTGTCAGCAAAGATAAGGAGAATCTGTCCAGTAGCAATTGTGATGACCTTATCTGAGTCAGAGGACTGTAAATTCCAGCCTGAATGCATGATCTAAGCAAGCTTGAGCAGACTGGCAACTTGCTGGTGCTCACAGGAGAATCTGCACCTGAGAGTGACCTCTTCCTTTCAAATACTATCCTAGGCATCCTCACCCCACCCATTCCTGACCCTGCTTCTAGCTTTAGGCAGCTAGATCCCCTGAACAAACCAGTTTCTCAATTCTCTATCGAATGCAGATTCAAGAGTTCCAATTTTAACAACAGCAACTACTCACTGGCTTCTGTTTTAGTATCAGGTATTTTAAACCATTGACTTATTAATCCTCATCACAATCTTTTTAAGGTTATCTTATTATCATTGTCATTTTTTAAATTAGAAAATTGAGTGTCAGGAAGGGCAAAGTATGTTTCCCCAAAACACTCAGCTAGAGAATGAGAAATCTGGGAAAAGGGTGACCAGTTATCCAAGTTTGCCTAAGAATGAAGGATTCTTAGGATGTAGAACTTCTGGTGCTAAATCTAAAGAAGACTCAGGCAAAATGGGATGAGTTGGTCACCCTGCATGGAAGCCCAATCTTAAATTCCTGAGATGTGAAAGAGTGCTAAGCTGCCTCTCAGGTTTTTAGAGGCCCATGGGAATTGCAACTATTAAACTAATCAAGACAAGTTGTGTTTTCTCAAGGGGAAGTAGGAATAAAGATACTATCTGGAGAAACAGGAGAAAGTGGTAAGCAAGGAAATCTATATTTTTATTCTATCTTGTTCAAAAATAATTGGTGAGTAGAAAGAAAGGCTGAGAAGCAATTAAACTTGAAATGTATTAAAATGAGAAAAGGGAGATGAGAATGGAATTTATATATATTTCAAATGGCTTATAGAAGCTTTAATAAATAATGTATGCTCCTCCAAAAACAAATACTAATAGCTAAAATCTGAGAGGTGGTTTACAGTAGGATTTGTGATCAACAAAGGCAGAGCATTAATCCAAAGATTGGCAGCATTAATGGCCTCACACGCAAGAGAGCTTGCTTTCTCAGAATTGCAGGTTGCACAGATTTAACCTCTCTTCTCTCTGTAACCCGCCTTTTCAATAAAGGTTTCTTTGCTGAAAAGGTGCGATGTGTTCCCCAGGGAGCAGAGTAGCACGTCAGGCAAAATGCAAAGCTGCCAATAGCTTGGAGGACACCAAGCCTAGTGACCACTGGAGCAGAATTGGGTAGCAGATGTTGTGTTACCATAGCGACTGGTGGGCAGCTCCAGATGAAGAAGGACTCAATTTCTGAGGACTGAGACATGAGGGAGACTTTGATCCTGTCTTTCTCTAGAGCTCTGTGGCTTTGGAAATGTTGGGGGCAAAGGAGGAAATAAGGAGGGGCTATTATGTTTGTTTTCCCCCACTCCCTTCACTGATTTTGTGCTGTGGATAAAAGAGAAAGGCATGATTTTTTAAAAAAATCAATCTTTATTAGGAAACATCCCCCTAGCTGTGAACTGATGAGTTACCTTTCCTCCAGGAGACTGAATAATCCTCCTCCCAGTTCACTGGTGGCTCCTCCCACAACCTTTCTCCTCTTTCCTTTGCCTTCCAAATGGTGGTGAAGGATAAGCAGTCCTGCAGAGTGAGGGTTACCACAGGCAAGGGGAGGTTCTGCTGTGCAGGCCACTTCCTCTGCTTCCCCTTTCTGGAGTTCCCTTGCTTTACCAAGAAGGAAAGGTGTCTGTCCTCCCATTACTACAGGAGCACAGGCTGGATTTTTGGCTGAGGTACTCTGCTCAGGAGAAAGAAAATGTTAACACAACCTTCCGATTTTCTCTCTGACTGTACCATGCTGTTGCATTGTGTGTTGGATTAATTTTTACTAGGAAAGCTCTAATTATCTCATGAATGGCACAATTATATTATATTCTACTTTTTATGTCAAAAGCCTTTATTTTTAAAAAATGTGAACAGTTATATTTGCACCCACTTTATTCATTTCTTTGTTTTTCAATATATTGTGAGCATCAAAAAATAGCAGGGCACACAGGCCTTCCTGGGCTTCTTAAAGGTTCTGGAATCTGCGTGCTGTGCTCCAAAGAACAAAGGCTTTGCAAGCTGGCAGTTTCGGCAAACTTTCTGAAACTTGGCTGTTGCTTCTAGAGCAGGGTTCTCCAAAACAATCCACTGAGTTGTGGGCAGAAAATATGAAAACCTTTATTTACTTTTCATCTCATCCTATAAAAGTCTAATTTTTGAATTTGTATTACTGTATGCATTATATGCAAATGCAATTGTCTATATGCACACATACATGTATGTGTAATTTTAAACTTTGTAAATATTTATGGAGGTTTTATCCTATCATTTTTAAACAGCTTTAATTCATGTACCATACAATTCATCCATTTAAACTACACAATTGAATGTCTTTTAGCATGTATATTCACAGAGTTGTGCATTCATCCATCCATCACCAAAATAGTTTAACCATTAAAACATTTAATTCTTAAAACATTTCATTACTCAAAAAAGAAAAATCGCACACTCCTTAGCTTTGCCTTCCCCACCCCTGCCACCAAGCTACTGGCTAACATGCCTGCACTTTTTGTTTCTACAGATTTGCCTGGCCCTGGGTATTTTATATAAATAGAATCAGGCTAATGTAGCCTTTTATATCTGTCTTCCTTCATTTAACATAATATTGTCAAGGATCTTCCACATTGTAGCATGAATCAGTACTTCCTTTTATGGCTGAATTATCTCCCATGTAGATTCCATACCACTACATTTTATTTATCCATCATTAGTCCTACAGGTAAGCAACCAAACCTTGTTATAGACACTGGGCTATATAATTAAATCTCATATGCACTATGCTTCAAAGCTGATATTCAAAGTACTTCACAAGGCACTGACAAGAATAAATGTGGTAAGCACTGGAGTTGGGTTCTAGGAGCCCCACTCGGTACCCAGGTACACTGTTTATTTTCCAGGGCCAAGGAAGTGGGAACCGGGACTTAGGGAAGAAGCTATCTAACAACTGTCTTGGAAGTATTTCAATATTTGAACACCTGCTATGGCTGTATGTGTGTATGCGAGCTGAGCATTCTCTTTGTGACCTGCCCTTGCAGATGTGCTGTGAGAGTTAAATAAGGCCAACACATAGAAGGGCTTTTTAGATCTTGCTTAAAAACATGGACTACTTTGCCATGCATGGCAAGCACAACTCTCAGGTTAGTGTCCTGCTTCTCATTCTTTTTTACCTAGGACTGTTCCCACAGCTGAGAAGGGCCCTCCCCAGAAAGTCCATCTCTATAAGTTTTGGTGATGGTACATCTAAAGGGAGTCAAAAGGTCTATACACAGCAGGTGCAAAGAGCCTATTGAGCCATCAAAGGGAAAAATATTTTGTGTGGTCCCCATGGCACCTTCCCTGGAAAAGGAGGAGTATGAACCTGCCTGTGGGAATTCTGGAAGACAGGAAGGAAAAATACTCAAACAAAATCCAATCCTTTCAGGTTTTTTCTTGCCCCACCTTGGACTAAGTGCCCAGAATACTCCCCAATTCAACCTATAGCCTGTTGGTGACTTTTCATTTTTGCTACTAAATCACAGATCTAGGAGGATACCAAGATTCAGGTAGGGAGAATTACTTGCACAAGGTCAGATGTAGATAGGTAGCAGGCAGAAGAGCTAAGTTGAGAGCAGAAGGTTCCCATTCGCTGGCTGGGGCTGCTTCTAATACAGTGGCCCTGCAGGAGCAGCCAGTTTTACAACAGTAACTGAAATACCGGTTCGGCTCAATAGAATGAACGGTCAGTGTAATCACGTTCTTCCTCCAGTCAGCAACAGCATTCTGTCCTTGTGCTGCACCCAGTGTACACTCAGAGTGTGGTTTCCCATGCCCAGACTTTTGCAGGCCTCATTACAACCACGTGTAATTGAAGGTGTTTTCATCATGGCAGACCTTGGCTATTGGAGGATTTGGCTGAAGCCAAAAACCAGCTAAAAAGTTAGAAAATCATACTTAAGAGAATGAACCAAAAGGATTTAGTTTGAAGAAGAGAACAATGAAGGGACAGATTGATGACATGTTGGGAGGTTTTAGATGGCAGAACTACTACACACAGAATAGAAGGCAGTTGTATGAAGCCCCAAGTTGGCCCAACAGTGGAACACAGCAGGGCCAGCTGGGATATAAGCATGGGTGGGATCATGACAGTGCTGTTTCATGATGGCCTGGGGTAGGTACTAGTAGATTAGGACCTATTGGCAAGAAGATTGGTCATTGTCCCTTTGGGTTATCTGAGTGCACCAACTTTTTGTGTGGTGTATTCCTGGTCAGTCAGAAATCCTGCTGAATGGTAAAGATAGCAAGGTCACTTGGCCAGGGGCATAGATCCCTTTGCTCTGTTCTTTCCACTTCTGTAGTTAATTACAATTGGGGAGAGAATCCAGCACATCTGGGACTCATCCAAGGGTTCAGGATCAGCAAGGGGTTTGAACTGTGGTTAACTTTGTCTGTTTGGGTTGCTGTAGATCGAGTGGCTTAGAAGCAACAGAAATTAATTTATCACAGATCTGAACGATCTTAGCAAGTCCAAGATCAAAGCCCTGGCATATGTAGTGTCTGGTGAGAGCTCATTGCACAGCCCGTGGATGGCGCTTTCTTACTGTATCCTCATGTGGCTAAAGCAACAAGGCAGCTCTCTGGAGCCCCATTTATAAGGGCACTAATCTTACTCATGAGGGCTCTACCCTCATGACCCAATCGTCCCCCAAAGCCCCAGCCTCCTAATATCATCAAATTGGTGAGTAAGTCTCAACATCTGAGTTTGGGGGAGACACAAACGTTAAGACTGTAGCGGAAAGAGAACAGCCCACCTGAAGCTGGATTAACCAGTAAGGAATGACATCATATCTTATAACTGGAAGGAGACAGGCAGGCCAGGACCTGGGTGTGGAAGGGTGAAATATTCAGTCACAGTAGCAAGGCCCTGGGCTCTTCAGCTTGCTTTGATGGTGTTTTAGGCTTTGCTCTCACCCTAAGGAAGCCAGGAGCAACTGGAGTGACATACATTTTTACTCACAGGAGAAACAGAAATCCTACTTTTCTAGTCATGACATAGAAGCCCTTCCTTTTCTCCCAAATGGTAAATCAGGTCATATGTGCCCGTCCTTCTGCCAAAGCCAGTCATCACTGGGGAAATAAGATAAGCTAACTGCCTACTCTTAGATCAAACAGTATGCCATGGAAGTTTGGGAGTTAACTGTGATGCCCATTCCACATTTGATTGGGACAAGCCTGTCACACACAGGGCCTGCCTGGGTGAGCAATGAATCTGGGGTCACCTGAAAATAGGGGCACTTCTGAGTCCAAATTCTGTCATTCTTCTCATACCACTTATGTCATACTATCAAACTCCTGTCGCCGAAATAACGCCTTTACATTCTTTTTTTGTGGCATCAGCATACTACCTGTGGCACTCTTCACTATTTCTCTGTAAAGAAGCTCAATTAAGTTTGCTTAAAAATGAAACTTTATCATCATTGGAAATAGGAAATCTCTGTCTCTTGCCAAAATTTTAAGGCTGCTGTCAGACTAAATACAAGAAACAATATTCAGTAATCTTATGGAGATATTGTTGCCTGCCAAGGTACTGATGCTAAGATAGCTTCTTAAAAGGGATGGCTAGCAAGTGTTTTTAGGGTGTTAAAGATACACTAGTACTGCAGAGTAATTCTTTCTCCCTCTCTATCTCTCCCTGCCCCACACTGGTGGTGAGTACTTCCTGTCTGCTAAGCAAGTGCTCTACATCCCCCGCTCCAGATACTTTCTCTATAAACCAAGCGAATGAATTAAAAGAAATTACAAAGTAGAATGGCGTCATTTCATGACACATCTATGTGCACCATGTTCAGTAACCAGTCATTAAAGAACCAACTTTGTTTCCTTGTTCTGTCTGGGCAGTGCCAGACATAACCACCCCTGAGCACCATCCCTGATCTGTGCCCTCCCATGGGGAAATGGCGTGCTACATGCTGCTGTTTTCCTTCAGTTTCCATACCTGCTCTGTGATGCTAGGCTGGGAGGACAGCTGTGGGGTATGGACCTTGCTAGCCAGTCATGGGCCCATGAATCAGGGATCAAACTACATAAGCATGGTATTTATGGAGCCCTCCCTGCGACAGCAGAGGTGTCCCAGTCTTTGTCCTCAGTCTAGGCGCAGAAGGAAGATGTCTCTTAGGAAAGAGCATGTGGATGTGGGAAACTCAATAAGCTTCAAAGCAGAGTCTGAGTGATCCAGGCACTGACTATACAGGTGTGGTCTGTTTGGGAAAAAAAATCACTGAGTTGTATTCTAGGATAAGTGTGTTTTTCTTCTTCTTCTTTTTTTTGGTACCGGGGATCAAATTTGGGACCTTGCGTGTGTGAGGTAGGCAGCGGAACCACTGAGCTAAATCCCCCGCCCTAGTGTGTGTTTCTTCCGTAAGTGGTTTTGTTATTTAATGGTAAGGAACATGCTGAAGAGCAGCAGATTGCCAGTTAGAGAACAGACCTTGGGAAAGGTGAGTATGAACTCAGACTTGTGGGTTTAGAAGACTTGGTTGGTGAGAAGGTGGAGAAAGAATGATCTGGAAGCTGTCTGAGTAAAGGGAAAGAGACAGGAAGGAGAAAGCCAAGACAGGAAGCAGAGAAGGATCTGCCTTGGCGAGAGGGCCGGAACGACCTGTCAAAGCCTGTGGCTCAGGAATTTGGCATTTTCCAGTTTGGTTTGTTTGTTTGTTTTAAACTGGGAGCCACATGATATAAAGGCAGGGTTAGGAAGTCAGTCAGGCTAGGGTGGACACAGGAGAATCAAGGGAGGGTGAAAGTCTCCCTGAGCAATGGAGGGGAGGCTAGGTCTTTATTCCTCTCTCCCTCTCTTTGTCTTTCTCTCAGAGGCCTTACCTGTGGCACACTTGGGTTTTGTCTGCTGGAACAACAACTTTCACGTAGAAATTGGCCACTGAGTGTCTGGGTGCAGAGGAAAGGCAGGCTCAGCCCCGGGAACATCTTCACTCCCATAATTTTGTTCTGGGTTTTGAGGGGTTGGGTGAGATAACAGGGAAGGTATGCTGAATGTTTGGGGAAGCTTTTCTTCCTGACGAAACAAAAAGTAGAGGTGTAGGAGGCCATTCCTTCCTATGTCCCTCCCTGTGAAGGTGGTTCTATTGCAGACAGCTAAGTTAGGTAGAAATGTTATAGGCAGTGAGATAGGGCTGTGCCCTTGAGAGAGTCAGTGAAAAAGATGAAAACACATTAGAACTGTGGCCGGAGGTGCATCGGTTGGAGGCCGGGCCTCAAGATAAAGACAAAGTGACCAGACCAACATACTTCCCGAAGGAATGAGATAAGTGGTGACACCTGGTCTAATGAAGTCTAGATAGACATCAGTCATCTTGATAGGGGACCAAGACCCTCAGACCCATCACCCTCCTCAAAAGTTCTTTGTTCTTTTCATGTATGCTTGCTATGTGACTTTCTCCCCCACTGGATCAATATTATCTAAGTGACTATACCTGTAACCTTATTGATAGATCATAGCTTTAACCCACATTGTACCCATGTGGTTATGCTTTATAAAACTTCCCCTGAAAAGTGGGGTCCTTGGCAACCCATTTTGGTCCCCATCCGCCTCTCAGGAGCTGTATCTCTCAATGAATATTTCCTACTCTTAACCTCCATTGTTCCTTAGAATTCATTCTTTGATTTTGGGGAACACAATCTTGGTGTATCTGACATCTAGGAGGTTGGGAGTGATAATATTTCCCCTATATCATTTGGAGGTCTAATATCATTCCTACAGCAGTTCTTCAGATGATGAGGTACTTGTGTTTTTTGCAGTTGTTTGGGGACAAGACTCTGCTGAGGATGGCAGAGAAGGGATGGAGAGAAGTGGAGGTAAAATGTCCTTGACGGAGGGCTGAGGCCTTGGGCCTAAGTCCTACAAATCTCTAACTTGTGACTTCTCTATAAAGGAGGTAACACCACACCTTCTTGCATAAGCCACTTTCAAGTGGTTCATGCTTAATGCATCTTGCATCTTTCTACCCACTCCTTGGCTCTCAAAACTAATATGTATGAAGTATGATCTAAAAATACAGTGAATGGTAAATGTTTTTAAATTGTTACAATAAAAGATACATTCCCATTAATCCCTCTCACAAAATACTCCCCCTCACTTCAAGCACACTTACAGGGAGGAACCTGGGCCAAGGCTGGTGGGATATCCACATGGAGCACTGTTCTTCTTGGAGGAAGGAGGGACTCAGGGTGGGGTGGGGAGCTCACTGAATATCTTGCCATGCATGACTGATCACTAGTTGGGTCTCTACTGGTGGGTGGGCTCTTTTCTCTGTGACATCAGAGAACACTGTTGCCCTCGGATCAGAATGCTGTTTCCCCATGCTCTTCCAAGGCTCATTGAGCACTGACCCCAGCTCTGCTCATGCCCCACACAGGTCACCCTCTGGGTAGCCCACTGTGTGGATTCCATGAAGCATGCCCTTCTCCCACACAGTCATCAGCAGTATCAATGACCTCCCTCTTCCCAGCTCCATCAAAGCCAGCCCTGGAATTATTAAAGAAAGTCTGACTCCAAGGCAGCCTTTTCTTTCCTCTGCTGAGTGATTTTCATTCCTTACAAGGTAAGGAGTCTGGGATCTGTCTTGATTTGAGTTGGGCCTTCGGAAGAGTTTTCATTTGTTTGTGGCTGCACCTGACTTAGCTCCTGCTCCCCCCCTTTAGCACCAGGTAGTACTTTGTCCACCCGCACTGCTATTGTCCCAGATCTTTGGTTCTCCCCACGTGGTGAAAATAGTGCAGCTCAGGGAGCTAGAGAGACATTGAAAGACTTTAAGGAGAGGCAAGCCCTCCACTTCTCCTCTTTTTTCTTTTTTTTATTAAATTCTTTTATTGGTACATTGTAGGTATACAACACAATTACATTTCTCATTGGGAATTGTACCTTTACATAAT